TTGAGCTGTAGTCTTCTATCTACTTCATTTGGGATTCTTCTAGAAGATCACGGTAAGCTAAGGGACTGGGTGCCTATCGGCCCTCTCCAGGGGAGGGACACCCGAGAGGTGCAGGGCTTGGGTCTAGTCCACTGTGATCCACACCTCAGACCGGACTGAGACTGAAGGGTAGTCTAAGTGTGGGTACCTGAGGCCGTCACTAAAGCCCCATCACATGTCGCTGGGGCCCAGCCTGGGTAAGAAGCAGCTAGATTCTGAGCAGCAGGAATTCAAAGGGAACCATGGAGGATGTCTCTTGCTCATTCAGATCATTTATTGAGAATAAAAGTCGGGCCATCCCATCTGTGTGACACTGCGACAGGAGTCACTTACATGCTAAGGAGAGTCCAGAGAATCGAGACCTTCAACAGTACAGAGCCACAGGCACAGAAATCAAAAGACAAATGACCCCCTCCCCCCAAGTTTGGCAGGAAAACAAATACAGTCGGAGGCCTGGGATGGAAGGGCACTTACTTTTCAATAAGGCAGTTACAAAGCGGACAAACCCCATTCCCCAAGGACACTCCAATGGGCATCACAGGCAATAGAAAGCAGGCAAGGATGGCGCGTGACCGTAAGCGGAGGGAGGCTTTGTGTTCAGAGGTGCCAGCAGGGGGAAGGAACCCACCGGAGATGCTCTGCCTGAAGCCCCAGGCCCACTTTGCCCACTTCAAATATCACAGTGACTTTCAAACTTCTCCTGACCATAAACTTGGAACCAGTCTGCAATCCAATGAAAGAACGCAAAGGCACCCCCCCAACACACGAGGTCCCTAGGGCATGAGCCTGAGCTCATCCCCTCCCGTCACCTGACTGCCCTGCTTAGTTAGCAGGGACCTGGAGCCAGGGCCATCACCCAGCCTCAGAGACAGGGTGGCAGGCAGGAGCTGGGCAGAGCTCACAGGAAGAGCCCACTTTATAAGGATGCGGTACAGGCTAACACTGCATCCCACAGGGGTTGGCTCAACCTTTGGCTTCTCTGGGCTTAACTGTCAACAAAAAAATTTATGCTCAAGAACTCCACAACTGAGTTTTACACGTTGTAAAACAAATCTCATAATGCTTCAAATTTTCGATTCCGTGGTGGGCCACATTCACAGCTATCCTGGGTGGCAGGGGAGCTGGGGGCTGTGGTGGGCATGCCGGCTGGGGGTCTGCTCCTCGGCCACTCATTTTGCTAAGCTCAGGAGTCCCTATCATTCCACCTGGAATTCTGCAAGAGTTTGTCCCCAGGAGCTCAGCTGCCCCGGAGGGGCAGGGATAAGCTCTGAGGCATGTCAGGACAGCTTACCTCGGATCACCTGTCACCCTGCAAACGACCAACTTGGTCGGGTCACAAGGGCCCCTCACTAACATGTGAACTTGGCAAATCACTTAGAACTTTTTTCCCCCAATTCACTAAAACTGATGGGAGAGCCACCTTGAGTGACTCTGAGGAACTGGCATCCCATCTACTTCAGCTTTGCTGGTGAAGCCCTCACGGCAACCGTAAGGCACGAGTCCTCAGTAACCTGGGGACCTCAGACTCCAGGCAAAGCCGTGTGCTGTTTAAAACGCTACAGCTGTGGGTTCCCCTCAGAGATGCCATGAGACTCTGTGTGGCCAGCATGGGACTAAGGCCTCCGATGACTTGGATTCTCTGCTGGCAACTTTGGCATGAAGGGTTTCTTCAACATTTTCCAACAAGGAACCAAGACCAAAACTTAGGGGTAAAGGCAGTCAAAACACGTTATATCCAGCTGTTCTTCCAATGTGTGGAACAGTATCGGGACTGGGTCCTTTGCCCAATAAGCCACTCTGTTCACACGGCCCCCAAATTTCAGAGAGCACGGAAAAGCCAGAAGCTAACTGACAGAAGAGTCTTCCCCAGGAGGTAGTGAGCTCTCTGTCCTTGGAGGTCGCCAAGTGCAGATGCTTCCTGGATGAGATGGGTAGGGAGAATGTCAGCACCAATGGGGAAGCTGGATGGGAGGATTCAAGACTTCCAATCTCTTATTTAGATCCCATCACACAACAGAGAGCCTTCGGATGGTGTTGATAAGGCCACTTCTTTGGGACTATGCCCGGGACCACCCACTACAGTGGACAAGCTATCCTACCACCACACACCGGGCAGTCACTTGGCAAAATATGAACAGGAAGTTCCTATGCACTCATACACGCACAGAGACAAAGGGAGCTACAAGCTCTACTTGCAACATTAAGAGCTGCTCTCTGAGAGGCTACTATGATTATAGCTACCTACGGCAGGGACGTGCAGCACACAGACGCCAACCCTCAAGTCACAACCCCACCTGGAATTCTGGTTTGTTGTCTTTCCTGAGGATTGGCTATGACCTTTTTTTCACAGTTTGTTCCATGAAATGAGATACAAGAAGCCTGTCCATTTGCCTTGTAAAAAATTTAAAGCCCAGTATGAATGGTAGGCTATGGACGTCTCCATGTGATCACCTTTAGGGTACACTGAAGAACCACACCAGGCTAGACCAGAGACAGGATGGAACTGTGGGAAGCCATGCCAGTCTGGACTTGAAATTCCAGTTTTGTCCAGGAGCACCGAGTAGAGAAAAGACCACGCTGCGCCATCACAGATTGCGGGGGAGAGGGGAGTGTGAGAGGCATGGACAGGTGATATGAAAACAGGCACCCGAGATGAGCGCTGCTCTCTCAACAAACCCTGCTGCTCCCCAAGCCAGGCCTCAGCCCTTCTTGAAGACAACAAGCTTTCGCCATGGCTTAGCCAGCAGACGGGAGGCAAGAGGCTGGCTGCTTTGATCACACAGCAGACTTCTGGACATAAGGAGAATGTAAGTTCGAATAGCTTGGCCTTTTCTGTCAGGTGATCTGTTTTGAAAGGTTGAAAAAGATAGCCCGGCCTCTGCTTCTCTAAGGCTGCGTGCATCAGAGGACAAGGATTCTGGGACAGGAACTGGTTGGAGGGCAGATGCTCCCCAGCTTGGATCTGGTCATGGCAACAGATGGAGCCCAATGGCAGATCTTAAACAGAAGCAAGCCTCTCCACAGGAAACTAAACTCAACGCTGAAGAAACAGTGATACAACTTATATGCCCACAGTTTTGGCTTATATATCAGAAAGCTACATTTTCTTCCTTGATAAGACACTGACATTTCCACAGGGCCAGTTAAATTAAAGGTCTCGTCTGCCCTCAGACATCAGCTTCTCCTGGGTCCCCTCTTCCTCCCCCATTGCCTCCATCAGTGATGGCAGGGAGACCGACTTCTGCATGGAGTTGAGGACAGAAAACACCCAGTGGGCACATCCTCAGCCCTTGCTTGCAACCAGGACACCTTTCATATTCTACATACACCTATTTACACACGCTCCACCAGGCTGCAGTCTGCTTGGCATGCATTTGAGCACTCTGGGAACACACTGTAAGTTAGTGACACTGGGGGCCCCGTCCTCATTCCACAGAAGCATGGTGTTCTGCTCCACAGAAGGGAGGACCATCACACACACCTTCACTCACTCAGTGTGGGGTTAACTGCTTGCTGAGATGGTGCTGCTGGACCAGGCCCCTGCTGTCCTCTTGTTAGCTGAGGCTTAAGGGAAACTCAGGATTGAAATAGGAAAAGGAGACATTTGACCAAATATACACTAGGATGGTTAGAACTTGGGAATCCTTTTCTCTTATCCTCCTACCCATGTCCTTTGCCCCACCGACTGGTGATTCTGCAAACATCTTTGGATAGGAAAGCTCTGCTCTCCCAGGATGCTTTGGTTCTGACATAACTAGACAGCAGAGTCTGACTTGAACAATGAGAAAAATTAATACTTTAAAAATGACCTTAGCGAGCATTCTCCCTGAAAGGAGGCGGATTCTGACTTTCTCATTTGAGCACCAGGTGGCAGTGACTTTTGTCTCCTCCCTGCCCACACTTTTTTTTTTTGGCCTCACAGGGCCAAGGAGCCAAGTCCAGACACATCATCTTCCCACGGGGACCTTGGCAGCTCTCCTGAAGGTTGTGAACTGAAGACAGAAAACAAGAGCCTCGACCCTCCATCTCTCTGTCAGAGCACGCCCTGCCAGGCGCACAGTGGGTTATGGTATATACCTCACTCTGGGTAAAGTGCAGAAGACTCTCATGGAGGGATATGGTTTTGTTTAAAACCTTTAAAAAAGTATTTATTGACTGTGTGTGTGCAGGTCAGAGGACAGTTTGCAGGAGTCAATTCTCTCCACTATATGGCTAGGAACTGAACTCAGCTCCTCAGGCTTGGCAGGAAGTGCCTTTACCTGATGGGCCATCCCAAGGTTCACCATTTTGTTTCTGCGACAGGCTCTTTAGCCGAGCTTACACAGGAGCTCTCTGGCCTTCTGCCTTGTCCTCTTGAGTGGTGGGACTAAAGCATGCACCACCACGATCAGCCTGTGACATCTGCGTGTCAAGTCTAGAATCGCAGCAGCCAGTTCTGCATCCTCAGCTCCTTGTGGAGGGGCAGGGTTTCCCCCGCCTCCGGTGGGTAAGCAGAGTGGGACACAAATGGCGGGTCTCAGTGGTGGGAGGAGAGAAGCAGAAGCTGCGTGGCTGTGACAGCTCTGGCCAACACACACTGGGTGCCCACTGTGGACGGGTCGCAGGGCCACTGGGGGACCAGTGTCAAACTGATTCGCTACTAAATGGCAAAACTTGCAGTAAAGCGGCAGGCCTGTGTCCCCAGTGGGCATCGGTCAGTCTAAATGTGGGTCCACTCTGTGCCTCACTGTCACTGAGCCATGCCACCAGGGCTGGGCCTCGCCCATGGCTGCCTGGTACTGCAGGGTGACTGCCAAGATGCACATCACCCGGCATTTCCAGGAGAATTGATTTAAAGCTTTGCTGAGTATTCAAGACATGGTTTTAAAATTCCTTTTATGATACTGTTTTTCAGTCTGAGCAGTGAAAGTCTTTCTATACACATGCTAACCTGTAAGAATATAATCCTCCTGACAGAGAGATTTACAGTATCCATCATTCAAACTTTATTTACAGTAGACGTGAACAGTCCTTATGGGCTGAGATGTGCAGACACCACCTGTCATCAAGCATCGCACCGCTGTCCTCTCACCAAGACCTCCGCCTCCTCTGGCCGCCGGTGCCTCACTCCAGCTGCTTGCTGCCCTCCGATTTCTGGTCCAGTCTGCTCCTGTTACTCTTCACCATGTAGATGAAGTAGGCGAGCGTTTCTTTCTCATTCACGGGGATGTTCCTGAAGTGTCGGCTCACAGTCTACACAGGAGGAAAGACCAAAGTCACTTAGGCTATGTGCCCATCAGGACCCTACATCCTACGCTCTGCAAAGAGGGAACAGGAGCTGCTTCCAGAAGCGACTGCCTGCACTTAGACTTGCCAAGGAGCTGTAGGATGTAAGGTTCCCTTGCTCCAGGGTTTAGCTGCTTTTCTCCCGGGGCTACCAAAAGTGTACCATTGCAGCCCAGGACACTACCAAGGCACAGATATACTTCAGTAGCAGGTAGTTATCCCTGGCATGACTTCAGCTATCCTGTGGTGTAAGGAGGCTGGGACTTCCCTGGTTGGCCAATTGCCACCAAGCCTTTCAGGCTCTGGAAATCGACCAAAAAAAAAAAAAAAAAAAGGTTTTAAAAAATTGTGTCAAGCTGGGTGTGGTGTTGAATGCCTGTAATCCAGGCTCTCAGGAGGGTGAGACAGATGGGTCAGGAGTTCGAGACCACCAGTCTCAGCTGCCTTAAAAACACACACACACACACACACACACACACACACACACACACACACACACACACACACACACACACACCAAAACAAAATAAAAACCATCCCAAACTATCAAATGAACAGTTAAAACAGTGTCTGGCCCCAAGAATTCCTCTATGTAGGGACACATGCCCCTGGGAAAGTGTGCCAGCCTGAAGAGAGTGCCCACTGGCCATGTCCTGACTGCTTTTATTGGCTGAGCCTGGAGAAACACAGTTCCTCTCTGGCCCACTCTTCCTTCCAGCTGGCGGTGGGTAAGCAGTGGAGCTGTGTGCTGCTGGTGTACCTCTGTGCTGGTGAGGGAAGGGCTGGAGAGTGAAGACACATCAGACAGACCCCAAACAAGCCGCTGGGAGCTGTGCAGCAGACCCTGCATGGATGGAGGTGGTCAGGGCAGATGAAGAAAGACCTGGGAATAAATAACCAAGTCTCTGGATTGTGTTTTTCTTTTCTCCGCCTCTCAAAGTTTCTACAACAAAAGGCAGGAGAATTAAGAGGGATGAGGAAGCCAAGTACTGTGACATGTGCCTGGAAGGGAAGCTGAGGCAGGAGATCACTTGAGCCCATCAGTATTGCTAGATCACATACAGAAGAGAGAGAGAGAGGCTAAGGGTGACCCCCTCCCACTTCCCACTAAAAGAAGTTAAGAATTCAATGAAGAAAAAAAAAAGTTCTTGGGTGCCATGAATCATACAGGGAAAGACTTCCATTGACACCAGAGGTCAAGAAGCCGATGTGGGTAGGTCCTGGAGGTTGAAGGGGAAGCTTACTGGTAGATGACTTGCTTAGTCATACACAAGGTCCTGGGCTTGATCCCCACTATCCAGAGAACAAACCAACCCTAAATCTAAAGTCACAGCGGCTAATCCAACTGACACACTTGAAAGGACTGGTTCTATCAAGAACCTTGTAAGAATGACGTCATGAATCAGAATCAAGAGGCCTCGGGTTGCTGTGTGACTTTAAGAAGGTCCATCCCTCTCTGTGCATGGCTTCCTTTGGGAAATAGGAAAGCTCCTGAATTCTACGTAACACAAAAAGGGAAAGACTTGGGCTGGAGAGATGGCTCAGAGGTTAAGAGCACAGGCTGCTCTTCCAGAGGTCCTGAGTTCAATTCCCAGCAATCACATGGTGGCTCACAACCATCTGTAATGAGATCTGATGCCCTCTTCTGGCCTGCAGGCAAACATTTGGACAGAACAATGTATATGTAATAAATAAAATAAACCTTGCATGGAAGAGATGCATGAGTGGATGACTGTGGGAGGGACAGCTGGGACCACAGAGGCACAGGCTGGGCCTCTGATTTATCTACCTACTTCTGCTAGCTGGGCCTTGTTGAAGCCGGGTCTGGTCTGCAGCTTGTAGTGCCGTTTGTAGCGTCGGAGAGTGTTCACCTGCAGCTGGAACAGATCAACCTAGAGAAGAGGAGAGACAGTCATGTAAGAGTCCACCCGGCCCCGCACACCCTAGCACCCTAGGGAGGGCTAAGGAGGAAGAAGTTGGAGACACTGTTCACCAAGGACTAGTGACTGGCAGGGAGGTCAAAGGCACCTGGGAAAGGGCTCTGTGTGGGTAGGGGAGGGGAGGCTGAAGCAGAAGAGAGGCGGTAGAGAGGTGGTGAGAAAGAGGAGAGGAGGCCGGCCGAGGGGCGGCATGTCCTGGAAGGCAGAAGGAGCTTGGGCTGGGGGAGATGCTTTAGGATAGGGCTGGAGGTTGGGGGAGGGAGGAACAGGGAGCCACTGCAGCACAGGCCTTCTAGGGAGTGGACAGAGCTGAGGCCCACTGCAGGCAATGCGAGAGGACACCAGCGTGTCTAGGAAGGCCAGCTCAGGGACACTGAAGGAGACAAGTTAGGGTGGACTGGCAGAGCTCCCAGGATGGCGGCAGAACAGAGATGCTCAGGGTGTTCCTTCCTAGGCTCAGCCTCAGGTGTCCCCTTCCTAGAGAGTTACCATAGTGATCCACCTGCAGTTCAGGAACTCTGCAGAGGGCTGGATAAGGGCCATCAAGAAAGACCCCTCTCTCTTTGTTCAGCTAAACGAGGCAGGGGTAAGCTATCCAGTCATGAAATACAGAAGGCTCAGAAAGGGTTGCCTTTACCTGCCTCCAAGAGAGAGGCTCTTGCTTCAGGCAAGTGGGACTCGCTTCAAAAAAAAAAAAAAAAAGGGAAAAGTAATCAGTATGGGGGTTCAGAATCCTCCAATCATTTTAAAACATTCTTGGGAACCTTTTCTAAAATGTTTGGTCAAAGGGATTCAGAAACCAAATATGTCTTTATGAACCAACCACAACACTACAGGCAATAAAAGATGCTGGAAAGCAAGGCAGGGGAAGGGACATGGGGAGAGGGGTGGGGACAGGGCTGAGTTTCACGTGCCTCTTCACACCTGCAGACTGAGGCCCGCCCACGTCTACTCCCAGCCCTGGAGTGTGCTCACAGGTGCTCACCTTACAAGATAACGGCGTGTCACGTGCTCAGTGCGCACTGGACACAGTGCCTCTTTTTGCTGAAACCCGAGTGAGAACACTTTGGAAGGAAACCCAGCTACTCCTTCCTTGAATTCCTTCCTTAACACACATGGGCTCCTTCTGGGTAGAAGCTGGGGCTCACGGTCTTGTGCACAGCTTTGAGGGGGCACACCCCAAAGGATATATGGCAATATCTGCAGACATTTTTTCACTGTCACAACTCAGGCAATGATGTCACTGGCCTCTGGAGGTCAGGGGTGCTGCTGCTGATTCTATAATAGTCAAGATGCAAACCCCCGCCCCAATGTCAAATTTCAGCAGCTGCTAAATGACTGCAGTGTGTCTCTGGGGACAAGCCCCAGTCCAGTTGGTGACACTGACAAGATACATTTTTCCTTTCAGGTCAGAGAAGAAGGGCAGCGAGCTGCCCAGGTCACAGAGGCTCAGCATTAACTTTAAAGGCAAGAATGGGGTTTAAAGGAGGCAACACCATGATTAAGCCCTGGTTGGGTTCGAGAGGCAAAGTCCTGCAGTCTACTACAAAGACTATGAGCAGAGCTCTAGTCCCAGCTGGGACCTCGGAGCCTGGGCCTGTCTGGAGAGTGACAAGACAGGCAGAACAGCTGATCACCGGTCTTTCAGAGTCAACGTTACTGAAAGCCTAGAAAACACGTTTCAAACAAACCACAGCAAAGATGACTGGCTAGTTCAGAAAACACAATAGCCCTCGTCAAAGCTGGAATCAGAACCCACTATTCCCATTCTCTGGCTGGGACGGAGGCTTGGGTCACAATCTATTCTCTTGGCTCTCTCTACCAGCGTTCTGGCCTTTACCTCAGGAATGTCAGCGTCATGCTCGGGGGAATCTCCGCCGTCATCACTTGTCTTCCTCTTCCGTTTATTCCGGACGCTCTGGATGAAATTTTTATGGAAGTCGCAGATGTACAGGTGCCTTACCTGATGGGAAGAAACCTAAAGTCAGTGTTAGCCTGAGGAATCATAAGCTTCCTCTTTTGGTTGGGTACTGGAGAGAGACGGATGAGTGAGGCAGGCCACAGCTTACAACCTTATTACTACAGGCTGCAGAAGAAGAAATACAGGGGGCTGGCGGTGTAGCTAAGTGGAAGAGTACATGCCCAACTTACCCCCCCCCCCCACACCACACACACACACACACACACACCACAGTGCATTAGCATCCACGTCTCTACAGGACAGGATGTAGAGCTGGCTGCAGTGGGGAAAGGCTGGCTTTACAGGTACCAGGAGGAAGTATGAACTTGCAGTGGGCAGGCAGGTGTGGGGCAGGGGCAGCGGGGACTGTGGAGACGGCACTCACAACAGCTACCACTGCAGGGGAACACTGGAAAACTTGACTCCTGCTACTGCACAGCTGTATTCCACAAAGGATTCGAGAGAGACAGAATTCTCACAAAGCAGACCCAAGTAAGTGGGAGGGGGTATTACCCCATATTTGTAAAGGTGCCAACAGCAGCTCAAATGTGAAGAACGTGTTTTTATTTAAGAACCTAAGTACCACAATCACCTGGAGGAACCATCCAACCCCCC